CCTCCAGATACTACTTAGCGTGCTTGCCGTTTTAGTAGTGCATTCCACTGAATAATTTTGTTTTACTGTATGCTATTTGTATTCTATATTTAGGCTTTTCTTTCTCTGACAATTTCACTTGTTTTAATAAAAAAGAATCAGGAATGCTTATGAAAGTCTTCATGATCCTTTTGATCTGCCACTTCACATATGTGCACTGTAATTATTTATTAAAGACTTCTTTACGTAATTTGCCATTTAAGATATAAAAAGAGAATATTCAAATAAATAAATAAATATTCATGTCAATCAATGCAAATTGTATGGGCCAAACTCTCCTCTCACTTATGGCAGGCTTGCATTGGGAGAGGAGAATTAGACCCAAAGGCATGCTACGTGTCGTATGTAATTTTAGATGCATAATCAATACGCAAAAATAGATGATAAATGTATTCAGATTTAGACCCTTGTTTATTTATTTTTTCAGATCCGCCTCACCTTTTCCCAGCATTCCACCCTCCTGTGCCAATTGATGCAAGACATCATGAGGGGCGTTACCATTATGAACCATCTCCCATTCCTCCTCTGCATGTGTAAGTATTAATGTTTTCCACATCTCTTTTTCTCATGGTGCCTAGAACAAGAGAGAGGTATTTATGGTGCTTAAAACTGTGTGTCTGGAAAGCTTTGCAGGTCTAGCTCAAGAGGAAGATTTACTTTTGGAATGCATTGAGTTTATCTGTTCGTGGGTTCACTGAAGCAAAACCAGGCTAGTGCCTTAGGAATGCCTGTTATAATAGGTAGCTGGCAAGTGTTACCTATATATTTTGCTGACATTTATTCTATGTACTGTCATTCTATAAATACTAAATTAAAAAGCACCGAGCCCTGTGAAATACCACTAGACAAAACATGTATTTTGTCTAGATTAAGCTTGGGATTCTTCATAGCTAAAATTTCCTGTAACGTCAAAGCTTTTTCTCAGTGACTGCTATGAAGTGTAATGAAATTTTTGGTAAATTTTCATAGTCCCTGTTGTACGAGTGCACAGGCAATCAGTTGATTGATGGGAATGTCACCCAAACAAAATGGCAAATGTGATAGAGCACATGGTTTACACAAAGATAAAAGAAAAGAATACTAGTGATAACATGCATTAGAAAAAGCACGGGAGGACCCTTTAGAAATAAATATTATCTTACTCTGTGTGCAGAGAGAAATATCAGAATTACAAAATAAAACAATGATCTTCAGTTGTAATATCCAGAAAACTGCCACATACCATAAAAAATGGAGCTATAAGAAGGGCTTACTTCTTTGCTAAAAGGCTTGATATATATATTTAATCATATCTAATAATCACCTCTCATACCAAGAAAATACAAGAAGAAAAGCACAAGTAATACTTTGAAGAATAATGCTAGTTGTTTAGATGGCAGATTGCTTTGCTATGGCTATTAGTTACAGCTGTGTAATTACATATATGCAGAAGAAAAATGAAGTTGTTTTAAAACAAGTCCTCCTCTGTGAGCAGAATTAATTGATATTAACAATCCTAACTACATGCCCAAGTACACACACAATATTTTACTAACAGTTTTTTGGATCAGTCTCCTATTACTGAATTGTAATTTCAGAGCAAATTTGCCTGGAGGTAAGTAATAAATCTGTGTTGCAGTCTTCCATGGGCATTAGAGGAAAAGTGGGTATTTATAGAAAGAGAGAGTACAGAAACTTGTTATTTATTCCTCAGATTTTCACTGTGCTGTCCATGAAATGCACAGAGCCAAATGCACAATAAAATACATTTGAATAAAGGTTTGATTTAAACCTCCCATGCAAAGATGAGGGCATTTTGAATTAAGATGGAGGCATCATACACATTCACCCTGTTGCTTTTAGGTTTTGCAGTGCATGTGAAGGTAAATTCTAACCAAAGATTTTTAGACTCTTCCTGTTATTTTGTAAAATCAGTGTGTGGTTTGAGGCCCAGGGCATGATCCTGCCCCTTTTTTGAAGTGAGTAGGAGTTTTGTTTTTGGCTTCTTCCAGGGCACAGTTGTGTAAGTGAGCACAGTGTAATGATACTTTGTATTTAACTGCTACCTGTCATTCCAAAGAACCCCAAATTCTGGCTCAGTTGTTTGCTTGAACAAAAGATTGCAGGGCCAGTCCTTGTGAAGAATCTGTTAACTGTTGCTGAAGTGTATTAGGCTCTTGGACAGATTGCAGAGATGTTTTACCATTGCTGGGGATCAAACGGGGTAAATGGGAATTTTGGGCAGGGAGACTGCAGTTATCCACTTTGAAATAGGATCAGGACTTGGAGCTTGTGCACCTGTACTGACTAAAGTACCACAAGTTCCTCAAGCAACCAAAAAGAGGTCAGCATTTCAGTGTCATGTTTCCTCTGAAATGTAATAATACACCTTCTTACATTACACATGGTCAGTAGAATCAGTAGTGTCTCAGAAAGAACTGTGCTGCTTATTAACTCACAAACACCACCACTTCTGCTGCACCCTAGAGATTTCTCATCTGAGGAGACAACATACGATTACAAGAGACAACAGATCTTAGCATGTGGTGACGTGGCTGCAGGCAGTTGTCTTAGGCACATATTGTAGTGTCAACCTTAACTTCAAAATTAAAATTCCCTTGATATTATTGCTTTATTTTTACACAAACTTCACTAGAGTTTTCCATTCATTTGGTTCTGCCATCTTGCACAGGTATGAAATAAACTAGAATAGACCTTTGGTGCCATTATGACCTTGTAATTAAATGTAAATATCTAATTAGGGAATTAAAAAAAATCTGTCACATTCCAGCAGCAGCTTTGTAGGTGTTAAAGTCTGTCATGTTTTTATCATTTTCAAAAATAAACACTAAAGTGTATGCATGACATATTTCAACCACTCTCTTGTAACTCTTATGGTTTCTGGGGCAACTCTAGACTAAAGAACATAGGATTTTAGTCTAGCTGACATTAATTGCTCTTTTGGGGCCATTACTTGGTTAGCTGTCCTAATACCTGAAAAAAAAAGCTAACATAAAATTATTTCAGTTTTTAGGAGATAGGGCATAGGATAGAAATTATGGAAACTGTCTGTCTATTGAGATTCCCTTATTCTCTGCTGCATATATTACTCATCTGTCAAAATAGGGATAATGATGCTTACTCAACTTTGCAAAGATCTTTTAGATGTACAACTTAAGAACTGCTTAAGATTTCCTGGAATTAGTTAGTTATCATGCAATCAGAAGAAAAGTATACAGAAATTTCAAATGTCAGTGTATGTCAACTCCTGGGCTCCCCATAATGCCATTTTTGAATGACAGGCAAATCCCAAAAATATTCTGTGTTATACACCCCTAAAAATAGGGGTGTATGTTTATGATGGAATTGCTGACAGATGCTTATATGTAATAAGACTAAGAGGCACTGCTATAATTATGCTATCGTATCCTATCATTAAAGATTCCAATTGAAAGAGGTTTATAAATTACTCCTCTTCTTAGATAAACCACCCTACATTAAGGCATCAATGATATGGTACAGAATTAAATTAAAATCTCATAAAATGAAATATGTTCTGTATTAGCTGTTTGACACTTAATTTGCCTCTGAATGAGTAGAGGAAATCACAAATTAACCTGCCTTTGTTTTTCCAACCATGGCTTATTAGGTGTTAGAACAACTGCAATTACAGCCCGATAATAACCCCCAGCCTTTATGAATATGTACTGAAACATGTCACTTTGTGTTACCGAAACCTGTTTGTTAGGACTGATTTAGTTTTCCTAGGATTTCTGAAGTACATCTTCAATTTATGGCTTAGCAGGAAGATGAATAAAACTTTAAACAGCATTAAAATAGTGTTATTAAAATCTTTATGTCTCATTTCTTAAATTCGATGCATGAATCTTAATTTTAGATCCTTTCTACAATGATACAATTTTTATTGAACTATAAAGCTAAATCATTTTATGCTTTAAAGACAAGAATTAAAATATATCAAGAAATCTGTGTATTTAGTTTTTTCTGTTGATGTGCTTTGTTCTTTCTTGAGTTTTTCAGAATGATTTCTTTAAAAACAAATTATTTTGTATTTGGCAGTACTTTTTTACCCTTCCAATTTGCCAATCCATCTTCATATAAATCCACCTTCTCCTATCAATCAGCAGCCTGTTGGCCATACCTTTACTATATTTGGAACCATGCTGGAAACAAGTGTTATTCAAACATAGTTGCCACTAGAAGCAGACTTGCCCTTACCATTATGAAAAGGATTTTTTTTCTTTAAATCAGATTGTAAAGAGGCTATAGACTACCTTTGTTGGAAGTCAGATTGATGAGCATAGTTTTCCTTAACATGAACGATCACTATCAACACTTTGCACCATCCGGGAAGGCTTAGAAATTTGCTATCTAAGATGGAGTAAACACAGGTTAGTGCAATTAACCCCAACTCAGCTGCTTTAAAATTTTACTCCCTATACAGGATGAGGGTATCTCATTTTTTAAAGGAATTAAGGGTTTTTAATGACATTTACATTGCAGGAATTGCCCTAGAAGACAAGAAGATTTTTAAGTTTCAGGACTGAATATAGAATAATATCGCAATAATACACTCTGAGAGCCTTACCCACTTAGCAAAGTAAAGTTTGTGCCCTCCACCCTGCTTATACATCATTTCTGAATTTGATCCATTAAGTATGTAAGAGAACGGGTCCAAGTACATGAAGGAATATACAGTGATAATATTTATGTGTTACGAGTCCAATGGGAGGTGTAGCAAGTGACAAAGTTACTGAGCATGTAACCAACCTCACTGGCTTCTATTCAGTTACTTTACTTCTTGGTTGGAAAGTGTATAGAAAAGCTTGCAGGACTGGGCCCAACTTCAAATCAAACAGACTGATTCAGTAGTACGCTGTGTCTTGCATAGTCATTACAGCTATATATGAGGAGTATGAAATGCAGAAGAGGCTGTCCCAGGTCCAGTCTCTTTAGTATCTTCATTAATGGCTTTGGAAGATGGAACTGAATTTACACTTATTATTAGGGGTGCACCAATAGAGATTTTTGAGGCTGATACCGATAGCCAATTGGCCTGATGTGGCTGATAATTTTGCCAATAAATGCCCATGCATGCTCACAGCTGCAGCACAGCAAATAGACAGTGAGCAGCTAGGAAAGCTGCATGCAGCTGGTAAGTCTGTTGTGGTTGAAGGGGAGGGGAGGGGGGAAGGGGTG